CGCCTCATGCGATTCGCCCGTCGAAGTAGTCTCATCTTCGCCTTGACCTTTGCCTTCAGCCGCTGGTGCCACTTCGTGCACTTTCTTTTCAATCTCGCTCACGAGCTTGTCGTGCTGCGATACGGCTTGCTCGTCTGCGTCTTTTGTGACTTGTTTGACTTCTTGTTCGACGTTGGCAGCGGGTCCACTGGTCTGCTCAACGACAGGTACAAGTGTCAGTGGCGGAAGCACGAGTGCGCGGAGTGCACATCGTCCACGGACCTCGGCCATTTCGTTCATCTTCTCAATAGCATGTCTACCTTCAATCGTGTCTTGGTCTGCACCAGTCGCAACGCCACGAGCACCGACGAAGAGGACCGAGCGCGCGCGCGCCCAGTGCGACGAAAGCCAGAGGTCCGACGAGCGGAGAAGTTAGCGGACTCGAGCAAGTTCCGATCAGGTCATCACTTGCCCTGAGTGCTGCTGCCGGACAAGTTCAGCTTGTCCTTGACTTGGCTGGCCAACTCGGACGCCGTCGGCTGAGACGACGCGGCTGATTGACTGGTTGTTGATGACGTGCCCGTGCCGCTGACGGCATCTTTCACAGAATTGATAGCATCTTTGACAGCTTGCATTGTCGTGAAAAAGCTTGCGGATTGATGTAAGCAAAGGCCGCGCGCCGCGTGTGTGGAGCCCAGCAGTCGATGACGTCAATGCCACTCGCTCATCACAAATTCGCCTACGCCACTATAGCAAGCTGAATACAAGATTGATCAAATGCTATCCATGCCATGACCATCAAATCTCCTTCAGAAACACAGAGGGGCCTGAGCGCTTCATGACGATCCTCAACCAAGGGCGCGTCGTCATTGCAATCATGACTTTTCAATCTTACTGGTTGGTCTGGAGGCATACCCTGTCCAGGACTACAACAGCCAACAATCTCTCAGTCTCGTCATCTCCGCTTGCGGATAGGCTGAAGCTCACCTCGTCGTACAAGCCGGCGTTCGCTTCTCGTCCAGCGACTTGCAATGCCAACCAGATGACTGCTGCAGTCATGCCGCTACCGCAAGTCGAGAATACGCCCCTTTCGCCACGTTTGACGGCTTCCCAAGCCTTTTGGCTTCCGAGCACGCGGACGAACGCCTTTTCAAGCTCGTCTGCAGGCAACAAGGTCTGGTACGGCGGAGACGTAGATGAAGGTGGGGAAAGTAGGGTCGAAAAAGGCAAAGAGAGCGACCGAGGAACGTGGCCAGACGACAGTCCCGGCCTCGGTTCCGGGTCTGTACCATGAAACCTAGATCAACAAGCATTAGCCCCTATCCTGCCTTTCAAGATGTGAATGCGCATTGACGTGCCTTCCCGACGGCCGGGCGTCTAGAACTACTTCGGCGGATGGATCCGCCATGTCTCGCTCCGAGTTGCTGACGACTTGGTCATATGATCTGACGAACGACTCGTCATACGTAGGCTCTGGGTACGAAGCATACATGCTTTTCAGGCCGTCCTCTGACGCCTCGCCGTACAGTGCTTTCGATAGCTGCAAACCATGAGTGGCGGCATCCCGTGCGTCGAAGTCCGAGTCAGACCGGACGACGTCATATCCTTCTGCCTGCCACCTAGGCAGTCCTCCATCGAGAACAGATATGTTGTCATGTCCGAAAGCCTACCAGAAAGGTATCAGATGAGCAAGATTGCCCGAGTCGTCAGAATGATCTCGCCTTGAAAGTGAAAAGGGTTCGGGGGGCAGTGAACATGCCATAAGAGTCGTATACAACCACACGAGAGTCTGGCGAGATGCCCAATTTGCTGCACGCGCTGGCAAAAGTGGCGCGCGAAGGCATCATGTGGGGCAGCACGAGACCACTCGTTGCTTTGGTGGCAATGTTGTCCCTGTTAGTTCATCAAGGTCAGTTCCGGCTACACTCTACCAAGTAACTCCGCAAGCGTCCACGAATTCGCTTACACGTGCCAGAACCGTGCATCGGGCAGTCGACATTGTTTGTACTCCTGCCAGGCATCTCTTGGAGGTTTCAAATTGGGCATACGCCAAGATGCATCAAGAATGATTGGCTTGTCGCCGCTCTGCAGCTGCCGGTGAAGCTCGGCCGGTTCAATCAACAGCGGCGAGCTCGTGCCGGAAGACATGCTGCGGTGCAGATTCTGTCGGGATCGAGAGATGAAGAAAGAGTTGACAAAGCGGCCTTGCGAAGCCGACACCAGTGGCATGGACGTAGGCAGAGGCAGACAGGAAACGGCCATTTAGACGTGTCTACGGTGTCAAGTGGGATAATACTGTTCACTGATACAAGTTCCAAGCTATTCCTGAACTATCGCAGGTTCGGCATGCCGTTTGGTAGAGTGTCACTCCATCGCAACCTCCGCTCACATCCGAATGATGCCGGCCATTTCATCCTTTTGCAGGTCGACGAGTGGAATCAAGCTTCTCGCATCCAGTGGAGCTGCTTGCTCTGTCCGTGAAGCCAGCAATGCGTCCCACCATTTGTACAAAAACGACTCTGTGATTAAGCGGAACCAAGGCGTGAACACGCTCGCTGATGATACTTCGGGTCAGCTTTACCATCTCAGCATGAGAACATAAAAGAGAATACAACGAACCTGGATCCCGGAAAAAGTCTTGCAGCTCTTCCTTTGACACCCACTTGGCGTCGCTAACCTCGTTCGGATTAATATTGAGTTTGGGCTCGTGCGTGAGGAACAAGATGTAGTCGACTACAACGAGCATGTGTGAGGACGCTGAATTTTGTTGGACTCAGCGCGACTCACTCTCATGTTCCGCCCAGATCTCGTCACTTGGCGCGTAGTAATGAATTCTTGTCAAGTAAGCAAACTCATCGAGACCGAACTCTGTCGGGATGCCAAGTTCGTGCTCTAGCTTGCGTGCCGCTGCTCTCCTGACACCTGGGTACCTCGGCCTTCATCAGTACACGCCTGTTTCGCCCGCGAGTGGCGAAACCTTGAGCCTTACCAATCTGACCCTCTTCGTCCATCTCGCCATTGCTCGTCAGCGGGTGTGAGCAGCACGTGTTTGTCCACATTTTGGGGAACGTGATTTTTTCGTCTGCGCGCTTCTGTAACAGCAGCTTGCCCGTCTCTGGGTGAAACAAGAAGACGGAGAACGCGCGGTGCAACGGCGAGCGCGTCTCTTTGGATCCGGCAGGCGGGATCAGGTGACCTGTACGGATACATTCTTCAGCCTGCTGATGCCGAGCATCCGGGGCGCGCGCCTTCGCGTCCAACTGACAATCCTTCTTTGAGCCTTCGCCGATGGCCACGTCGTCCTCAGACAAGAGAATCAGGCGCTCCTCCATCAGATGAATCTGTTCCTTATCATACTTGGACTCGTCGAGCTCGATCGTGTACGCGGGCGCGGCGCTCATCTTGCTTAGAGCGGTCCAAGGGCTGTGTGTCGACAGGTGGGGCTACAGTTCGCTGGAACGGATAGAAGTTACGGTGGAGAGATGTGCTTGGCAGTTGTGTTTGCGATGGACCGGGAGAATTACGCAGTCGCTTGACGCGGCGCGAAAAGGAAATTGACCGCCGCGCGTCTTTCACTCAAAAGCACCAGTAGAACGATGTCGCAACGTCTGCGCACGCCGTTACGGCAATGGGCACGCCAAGTCGCAGTGGCCAGGCAGCTGTCGACTGCACCTGCACCCCAGCCATCATCGTCGTCGTCCTCATCGTCGGCGTTTCTCGATTCGATGAACGCAGCCGCAAGGCCGTCCATGCCAAGAGGCGCACAACCTTCAGGCACCTTTGTGTCATCAGATGGAACATTCCCAGCCCCGCGACCGAGTGTCGAGCCAACGCCAGACGCCGCCTTGCTCGCCAATCTAGCCCGGCTGATCATGCGCGACGGCAAACTCGCACGCGCGCATTCGCATATTGAAGAGATGCTCGGCACGATTCAGTCGACCGTCTCGTCCCCTCCAATGCCCGTTCTCACGCGCGCGCTCGAGATTGCATCGCCAGAAATTCGTATCGTTGGCAGGCGAAAAGGTACAAAGTCGCTGCCGACGCCACAGCCGTTGACAAGCAAACAACGGACGAGAGAAGCATGGAAATGGATCGTTGAAGCGAGCGATAAGCGCTTGGCGTCAGAAAAGAATTTTGGAAAGCGGCTCGCGCAGGAGGTCTTGGCGGTCATTGGCGGTCAGAGTGAGGCAATCAAGAAGAAGGAAGCCAGGTGAGTCGCCATGCCTCTCTGTACGCTTTGCTGCTCTGACATTTGGGCTTTAGGCATCAGCAAGGTGTACAAGGGCGAGCAAATGTTGGTCGGTAGAGTGCGGCTGTGCAACTCCAGCACTTATTCCCCTCGACGTGTTCCAATGCTGTTTCAACTCGAGCCCGGTTGTGATTAGCGACGAGATGGCTTGTGATTCGTTGACGAGAATGATTCCTTTCCCCCTTCCTCTTTCCGACGGTATACCGCCACGACATACAGAATTCTCAATGGCCTCTAGTCCCCCAAGCCTCTCGAGGGTAAAGCTCTAGTCCCTTTTGCGAGAGTTGAGCTCTGTCCCACCACACGGCTGGACGCTACCGTCGACACCGTCGCCACGGCGGCCAAACTAGATCAACGTGCGCAGCAGAACAATTAGCGGAAGAATCACGTCGCCCACAGGTGCTCGCGGCAGAACCGTGCGCTTGTGTAGCACTTGCCAAGCGTGCTGAGCTTGATAATGGCGCCACCTTTAAGCGGATCGATATCGTCAGTTTGCCAGCGTTTGGCGCCGCTCACCTGTTTTCGGCGCGATCATCAGTCGTGGCTCCTGTCTGCGATGCCATTCCTCAGATCTGAATGCTCAGAGAATTGCAAACGTGCGTTCATTCGCCGCTGAAGCATGAGCACGCGGCAAGCGCGGGCTCGAAAGTGCAAAAGCGAAAACATCTCGTAATTGTCGCGAGTGAAACAGACCATTGAGAGGGTAAAAATTCGGGTATTTGCGACATAATGAGTTGCCTCGCCGCCGGAAAAAAAAAAGGGGAAAAAAATTAGGCGATTATGGGATTTGAACCCATGAGTCCAGAGGACAGCGACATGCCAAGATATAGTAAATCGCCGCAATAACCACTATGCGAAATCGCCTATTTCGATGCAAAACAGCACATTTTGGTAAAATATATACCCCAAAAAACATTTGGGATCCGAAACATAAAACCTCGGCACTGACTTTGTCAAACACACACTGAAGACCTCTTCTGGAGTGTGTGCCATCCCAGCCAAAAAAACGCAAGAAAACACTGATCTGAGAATCCAAAAGAGCATTAAACTCGGCAGTGACCATCCGGCGTCACCACGGTCAACGGCGTCCTAGCAGTGGCAAACGAAACATGTCAGAGTCTCGCACGCCCATGACCACAACGCTTCGAAGAATTCACCGCCGCCGAAGTTGTGAGAGGGCAAAGTCATTCGTCTTTCGTCTTTCGCGCATTGTTGCGCTTCTTTCGTCTGCGACATACACATGGATTCAGCGGCCGGTATTGACCACATAGGATCAAGTGATCAATTGCAATGGATAGTTTGCACGGTGCTTGGCTGACGGATGCGACGCCACGAGTTCGCGAGCCTCAAGATTCCAAAGCGTTGAACTACCAAGCAGATGCAACGCGACTCGCACTCGCTGGATGAACGGCAGCGCCGCGACATCCCTTCTGAGATTTCCGAATGAAGATGGCATGTTCGCGCAGACTGGGCTATGGAGAACGAATGGACAACTGCTACGCGCTGAACACACGCTGTCAAGTCGATTGCGAGCACTCATGCGCCATCCTAGTGACAGGGATGGCTCGAATTTACATTCTGTTGAGAGCGTGCGTTGGTCGCGCGACAAGGCGTCCGCTCGAGATCCACGAGAACGCGTGCATAGAGTCCGACTCGAGCAGGCGGAGTGCTGGCAATCCACAGCAACGTGCCTGCTTAGACCGCCCAAGACGATCGCCCGAAGCCGCAAATGACTCTCAGCATGCCGCTCGAATCTTATTCAGATTCGAACGAGTGAACTGGCAGACTGTCAAAAGACGATGAAATATGATCAGCGCAAGTGCACGACGAGATGCGGAAGGTGGCTCGAGCGCGGCGCCTCGCAACACAAAAAGTTCAGACGAAGGCCCATTTCTGGGAAGGTAGCGAGATAAGTTTCTGCAACGACGTATGCAGCTCTGATCGGCCTAGTCTGTTTTTTCCACGCCAGCGTCGGCCGTTTGCCGTGCGCCTGTCGAGGTTTTTTTCCTTTGCAGGAAAAACGACAGGTGCGCGACGCCAGCGTCGGCCGTTGCAGAAGACCGTGGCCGACAGAGCGTGCTCCGTCTAAAGCCAAATGCCTCGAAGACATCATTCTAGCGCGTCGCGAGTGCGGCGCCGAGCTCGAGCCCGTTTCGGCACGACCTGGAAAAGCCAAAGACTCACGCAAAGAAAGATGCACGTGAGCAGGCGACACGAGAGAACATGTGCCGCTCACGCGCCTGGCGTGTAATATCGTGCGGTCAGATCGGGGCACGTGCACATGTAGGAATAGAAGCGCAATGGGCCAAAGTTCGTCTGATCGCACCTCGGCGCTTTCCCCCTGTCTTTCCTACGCGTCATGGCGCCAGCAAAGGGCGCCAGGCGCTCCGAAGCCGCGTCTGCTATTGCTCAAGCAAACTCGGACTTGACTTACACGACACTGTCGGTGCGTCGCCGTTGACCTTGACCCACGTGACCCGCGCTCGCGGCTGACTCCACTCGTCAGATCGTCCCAGGCATCAAGCAAGCTCGTCCACGGGGCTTGTGACTTTTGTGTGCGTCAGCTGACGCCACTTCCCGTGCGCAGCGCCAAGCATGTCGCGTCAAACTTTCTCAAGAGCGACACACAGTCGTGGTTCGCCCGCCGAACAACAGACGCGCTGTACGAGATGGACCGCGAAGCAAAGAGGAGGCGTCTCATGGCAAGCGAAGACGAAATACAAGAGGCCATGACGCAGCAGGGGGTCTCAGACGGCCCAGCTCTGAACGCGCGCGCGTCAAAGCCAAAGCTCAACGTGCTCGCACCTCGGACGACAGCCAAAGTAGTGCCAGCTGTCCTCAGTACAGACCAGATAGAGGTACGCTCACGCCCGAGGCTAGCGTACCCGATCGCACTAGCTGACGTTTGCGCTTCTTCAGGCTAGCGCCACAGACGAACCTGAGCTGGATCCAACAACCAGAACCATCATCATCCAGCCTGGTTCGAGATGGCTCAGGATAGGACGAGCATCTGACGCTGCACCGACGCTTGTCCCCAACATCATTGCACGACGAATGCCTCGCGCCGTTGAGGCGAAGCGGCGAGCAATTGCCCACTCGGCGTCCGTCTTGACATCGAATGCATTGCCAGCGCTGCCATCCAAAAAGGGCAACGAAGATGAAGAAATTGACGAGCTGGCAGATTCCGACGACGACGAACCGACCGCGGCAGCGACAACGATGGCAGACCAAGAGGATCCGCTGACAGTCAAGATCAATTCGATCAGGGTCGACTTGCGACAACGCATGAGGGCGATGAAATTGCGAGGTACCACGGGCGGCAATCAGATTGCGGCCGAATACAATGCGACCGTCGAGCCGCAAGTCATGTACAATGATCCAGAGCCGATCGCATGGATTGACGCAAAAGCGGAGAGCGCACGACAATTCTACGTCGGCCAAGAGGTGCGTGTCCAAGGTTGTTCTGATTTGCGTCCGTATCGAAAGTTGTCCTCCACAGGCACTGGCCATTCCAGACGCAGAAGGCGCAGGCTACATGCTACGGCGACCGTACGACCGCGGCAGGTTCAACACTGGAGATTACGCCGTCCCACAAGAAATTATTGGCGACATCGAGACCATCTACGCGACCGCGCTCGAGCGGGACGTCCGGATTCCCCGTTCAGACTGGCCGGTGAGCCGCATTGCTTAGCATATCGATGGCTAGGCGCTAAAGACTGTCTTGTGCAGGAGTACTCGGTAATATTCCTCATTCCCGACTTGTACGACCACGTGTACGTCCGAGAAATGACAGACTTGCTTCTTAAGACCATGGGCTTCAAGCAAATCTGCGTACAGCAGGTCAGTCTGAAGAGCACGTCTTGAGGTGCCGATGACGCTCACATTGCCGCTGTAGGAGAGTTTATCGGCCTCTATCGGAGCCGGCTCGTCGAGCTCGTGCGTGGTCGACATTGGCGCCCGACAAACGACCGTGACTTGCATCGAGGACGGTATGGTGATTGCAGACTCGAGGTCAGTACCTTACCTTGGGTTATAGCCTGGTGTCACTAAGTCGATCTCTGCGCAGAATGGCTCTCGATTTTGGAGGTGACGACATCACACGGTTCTTATTGGCCCTCCTCGTGCGGACCAACTTCCCTTACAAAGAGGCCGACCTCACCCGGTGGCATGACTTCCGAACGCTCGAGCTTCTAAAGGAGCAGATCATCGTCCTCGGCGAGGTGAGCTTTGTGCCGATGGCTTATTCGAGAGAGCTGACTCGAACGTGCTCTTCAGAACGATGTTGGCGTCAATTTGGTTGACTTTTACGCCAGGACTCCAGACAAGCCCTTGCGCAAGTACTCGATCCGGTACTATGACGATGCCATCTTGGCTCCCTATGTCCGCTCCATATTTTCTGCGTGGGTCTTTCGTCTAGCCTAACCATACATTAATTCAGGCACTCTTTGCTCCTCGAGTCGTCGACTTTGACAGCAAAATCGAGCCACAAAAGGTTCTGTGGCACGATGACGTTGATGAGATGGTCGACATTGGTTCTTCAGATACGGTCCGTCGCATTTCTCGACTGCGTCGTTTAAAACCCCTCGGGACTGACGAATGGGTAATTGACACAGACACAAGCCATGACGAACAGTGTTCGACACTTGCTGCCTGCAGGAGCGTCAATTGCTGCAACGCTGCGTCCAGCGGGGCAAGACGGCACGGACGCACAGGCACAAGGATCGACGGTCGACGTTCGTACAGAGTCGTCCAAGATTCCACTCGACGTCGCTGTTGTAGAGAGCGTGCTTGCGTGCGTCACTGAAGACAGGATGAAAAAAGTCGTTGCCAATTTGGTCGTGACGGGCGGATCGGGTGCCATTCACAATGTCGGTTTCGCCATCTCAAGTCGGTCAGTACTTTGAATGCTCGCATTTCAGTGCGTCAAGATCTGATCTTCTTTGAACGTAACGTCAGCGTCTCTGCGTCTCTTGCGTCGCGCGCTCCTACTTTGGCACCACTCGTCAATGTCGTTGTTCCTCCAAAGGACATGGACACTGTCCATCTTGCTTGGAAAGGAATGGCCAACCTCGCAAAGTTACCAGTGATTGCAAACGACTTGTGGGTCAGGCAAGATGAATGGGCCATGCTTGGCATGAAGGCTTTGAAAGAACGAGTGTTTTACTGGGCGTAGAGCAGTTGCGGCTAGCGCTCGCTCTTTTAGTAGACGAAACCACTGTGCAATTCAACTTTGTCCAAAGAAGAGAAAGACAGCATGAAACAAAAGAGAACCCCTCTAGTTATGTACGGCAAAACGGAATAGGCACGTAGATGAGATCAGGCGGTAGCCAGCTTGGCGTTGGCGGCCGTCTTGAGTGACAGGAAGCACGTCCAGAGAATACCGAGTACTATCGGGCAGCCATTTTCAGTTAAGAGACGTTCAGTGTGGTCATGCGAGAGCACTTACGCGACCCGAAAGGTACGCGGAACCTGACGCAACATCGTCAGCTTCTAAGAATGCAACATCGAAAATTGCTTACTTGAGGGGAACGAAACGGAAGTTGATCAGCTGTAGGATCGGCCAGACCTGTCAAAGGATACCGTGAGTTTGTGGCCGACTTTACGACTAATAATTCGTCTGACTTGCCTGCCAGTTGACGAGCAAGATCGGAAAGTAATTTTGCCGAAACTTTTCCTTTAGTTGCGCACCGTCCAAGCCTTCAAGCGTGCCCATCGAAAACAGAAAAATGAACAAGCCAACAGGAGCCCTGCAGGTCCAGCATGTCGACTGTAAGTACGTATGGCGAGACGTTCAAGCTGGATGACGCGAGCTCACATGCCAAGCTGATCCGCGGCGACACGTTTTGCCAGGGCTGCTACAGACA